AGCAAAAAAGAAAAAGGCCTTCAACGAGATGGATGGACACAGTGGCTGCAACAGTGGGTTCAAGCACAGGACCGTTGTGAGGCTGGCAGTAAGGATTGTGGAGATGTGGGGGAGTGATGCCAGGATCCATTTCCCAGTGGAAATGGTCGATGCTGCTCCTTACCATACAGTTAGTGAGGAAGCTAGGGTCCGAGTCCCTTGCCCTTAGCATAGAGTAGCTGACACACCTGGGTGAGAAGAAGGAAATTACTTAACCTATGGGTGCAATCCCTTTGGGGATCAAACGACCCTTTCACAGGGGTCGCCCAATTCATAACAGTAGCAAAATGACAGTGATGAAGTGCCCTGTTTCCCCGAAAATAAGACAGTGTCTTATATTAATTTCTGCTCCCAAAGATGCGCTAGTTCTTATTTTCAGGGGATGTCTTCTTTTTCTTTTTCTTTTTTAAAAAGACATTTATTTAGCGTCATGATCAGACCATTACATTTAGCAATCAACAGCATGGGTGCAAAAAAAAAGAAAAGAAAGAAAAACTACATTAAAACCCCTTGTTGGAATGCTTTCCACTTTCCACAGAACAGACACTAAAATAACCTGTTATACAATTAGTCACAAACACAGTCCTCAAGTTCTTTTGCCCATACACATGAGTATTGTCTAAGACATGTCTTCTTTGTAGCAGCTAGGCCCTGCCCCCACTGTGCTTGGCTGCGTTCACACATCTGTTGTCACCTGTAGCTTCCCTGTCACCTCTCTGGCTCTCCTCTCCTGCTCAGCTTTGTTTCCTGTTGAACAATATGGAATGAAGTTGTTAATCTAAACATATTAAGACTCAAGGCTACAATCCAACAGCAAGTTGTTTCCCACAATTTTGCCCTTCTGAACATTAACTTAGTATCCACAATTAAACTGCAATTATGTTAACTAGGTTGCACTGCTCAGCTACATTAGGGCTACTAGGTTTATTAGCAATTACAAAAACTAAGTCAAACCAGGAGAAGGTGCTCATCTGGTAGTCATTTAAAATCTTCTGCCACTGCCATAACTACTGCCACCATAGCCACCTTGGTTTCGTGTTTGGCAAAGTATTGACCTCCACCACCATAAGGGCCAGAGCTTCTGCCTCCAACGTTCCCTCCCTTCATTGGTCCAAAATTGGAAGATTGATTGTTGTAGTTGCCAAAATCATTGTAGCTTCCACCACGTCCAAAGTTGCTTCCATCATTACCAAATCCACTCTAACCACCCCACTGCCGC